TATTTTGTTTCATGGTATTGACATTTTGAAGAGTCCAGGCAGTTATTTATAGAATGCCCCATTCTGATTTGTTTGTTTATTTCCTTATGACAGTGTTTAACATTCCTCTCTAGTCCTTGTATTGCCTGGTCAGTAAAAGGTAGGCGTAGAGGCTTGATTAGATTCAAGTGAAATGTTTTTGGCAAGAATAGATCCCAGGTCACTACATCAGAAGGCACGTGATGGCAGATTGTACCATTATTACTGTAGCCCTGTTAGTGATGCTGCCTGGATCACCTGTCTTAGCGGATCCCCTGACTGTCGAGGTGCATTTCCCCCTTGGTGCTGGTCAGTGATGTTCAGGGCGCTGCCTGGGTACCGTGCGAGCATCCCGTTTGCCAGCCAGGTCATTCACTAGGGGTCGGCACCTACTGCCCATCCTTAGCTGACGTTTTTCTGTAAAGAGCTTTCTTTGTACTCTGTTTCTTTTTTTTCTTAATCACTATGGACTCAAGGATTTAAAAAATAGTATTATAATCATTTGTACTCTTTTTTATTTTTTGTCCTTACTTTTGATACTAAAAGTTGGCCAGCAGGAGCTCCTCCCAGTGGCTTCTGCCTCTGTTTGCTGGGAGCCCACGCGTGATAGAGCCCCTGGCTCTCTCGCACAAGTTGTCGGGGGCTCCCCTCGTACTTGCCCTGATCCAGGCCTGGGTGGGCTCTGCCGTCCTGAGCAATCAGGCCCGGGAGATGCCCTCTTACCCACCTCACTGGGGACCAGTGGCCCGTCAGTTAATCACAAAAGGCAGTTACAGTGAAGAATCATAAGAAAGTACACACACACCTTGCACATTTTATTTTATTTTATTTTTGGAGACAGAGTCTCATTCTGTTGCCTGGGCTAGAGTGCCGTGGCATCAGCCTAGCTAACAGCAACCTCAAACTCCTGGGCTCAAGCAATCCTCCTGCCTCAGCCTCCCGAGCAGCTGGGACTACAGTACACATTTTATTTTAACTTAAAGCAGTAATGTGATCCCTGAAGTCACAGTAGTCTTTTGCCATAGATCAAGATCTTTTCTTCAGAGTTGGGTCTGACTTACTGGAGTTCATTTTCTTTCTTTCATTAAGCATACTCACATGCCACTTCTGTGACTTCTCGACTGACACTTAGACATTTCAAACACTTGCTCAGCGGGCTGAGAGCAGAATCCTAGTTTAAACTCTTTACGTCCCAGTCTTCACAGTCAAATCTCCCCCGCTAAATGCCACAGCGGCCCTCGCAGCCACTCTCTTTTAGTCTTTCCAGAGATTCAATTTACCTCAACCTTTGTGGCACTTGTGTTCAACAGTTCGTGGAATGTTTAAATTACAAGAGCAAGTGGGAAGGAACATCGCTGGGACCAGGCAGGCGAGAAAGGCGCCTGCTCATCTTAGCGTGGTCTATGGCGACAGCACCGGCTGCAGAAAGCGCAGGGGCATGGGGGTCCCGTGAGAAGGTGAAGTGGCAGTCGGGGGAGAGCTCCAGCTGTGGCGGCCGTGTTCCTTCTGTCCTGAATCTGTCACCTGCCTGAGGGGAATTCTGATGAGATGGAATCCGGAGGACTAGGTTTGGGAGTTAGAAGACCTGAGTCTAGTCTTGGTTTGTCACTATCCAGCAATGACCCTGAGCTTGTCATGGAACCTTTCTGTCTGTGTCCTCATCTGGAGATGATGACGTTTGCTCCGCTCGCCTCCCAGGGCTGCTGTGAGGCTGAATGAGCGTGCGGGTTGTTCAGGGCGCGTTTCCTCAGCATGGAAGGCGAGCCCCCCCAACCCCGGTCGCCTCTCACTGGACACTCACGTCGTCTGTGGGGTCTGAGACGTGGAGCCTCAAACAGGGACCCAAGCCGTGCTCGGGAGCCCTCCTGCCCTCCGTGTCACACCCCAGGAAATATGAGCTGGAAATCACATGTGTGCATTTCCCTGAGAGGAAGCTCGTCTATAGACACTGGATGGTTTCATGGGATAAGCGAGAGGCGTCACCAGATAACGTCAAAAATGACCTCATTGGAGACTTGCCAGATGGTTTCTTTCTGGGACTATTTTTGAACCAGAAACTGTTTCGTTCACTTATTAGCAAAGTTTTGATACTTACTATGTGCAGGCACCATTCTAGGCCCTGGGGTAACAGCAGAGAAGCCAACACGCAGAGACCCTGTGTACAAGGCCTCTCATGTTGGGTGGGGAAGGAATATCCGACGGCTGGGAGACAGCTTTCCGTGGGCCAAGGGCTGTTTTCAGTCACCACTTTCACGTATTACCGCTTCTAATCTTGACAGCAGCCCCGTGAGGAGCACACCATCACCATCCTCATCTCGCATGTGAGGAAGTCGAGGGCTTCCGGCTGCCAAGTACAGGGCTGGCATCCCAGGCAGGTGGCACCCAGTCCACGTCCTCCACTGTGACCACTGACACTATTGGCACTGCAGGATGCCCTTGCTGCTCTGGGCAGCTCACACACACACACACACACACACACACACACGTCAGCTCCCGGGACACCTTCTGGGAGCGGGAGCAGCAGTGACGCTCCCCACTCCCTGGCTGCGAGGGAGGTGAGCACCCTGCCCCAGGCCTCTCACACCCCTGTCTCTTTTCAGACCTACACAGTGGACATCTTCTCTGCAGGCTGCGTCTTTTACTACGTGATCTCTGAGGGCAGCCACCCTTTTGGCAAGTCCCTGCAGCGGCAGGCCAACATCCTCCTGGGCGCCTACAGCCTCGACTGCTTCCACCCCGAGAAGCATGGTGAGTGGGCCGGGGTCGTGAGTGGCTCCTCGGCCACCTGCATGGCCCAGTGGGATGGGGCTGGTACTGCCTCTACACCCCCAGAGGACTGGCTAGGCTTGTCCCTGGGGTGCTCCTTCTAAAGCCAAGAAGCTCCAAGGTTCCTCCATGTCACCAACTACCTGTACAACTTGGGCAAGGCCCCCTTTGAAGACCCCTGATTTTCAACTTGCGATGTGAGGGTTAAATAATCTCAGGTCCCTTCCTGCACTTGCGTTTGGGAAGACAACTCGTCTGTGCTCCATAAACTGGACTCTGTCACGTGGGGCCCGTGGTCGGCAGGCGCAGTCCGTGCTGGACTAGGGACAGACGGTCTTTGTCCTAGAGCTCCCAGGGCTGGTGCGGCAAGTCTTTCTTCCTGACTTCAGGTTTTCCTAGGTTATAATTGGCCCATGACACCCCAGGGCTGCCTTTTAAAAAACTAGAACTAAATTATTGTCCTGCTGATGAGTTAATTTTCCTTACTCATTGTAGAAAAAACAGATTAGCATAAAGGCTCATAATCCCATTACACAGGGAGAATGACACAGGGAGAATAATATGTCGGGGTATGTGTTCTTCTCATCATTATCTGGACAGTGTGCATCTTTTTACTAAAATGGGGATAAACTGTGCATACCGTTTTGCAGCATGCTTGTTTTTCAACGTCACCTTGACTCTCTATGTGCCGATCCGTGTGTAGCCACAGACGGCCCACAGCTCGTAGTCCGGCACACGCAGGCACAGCGGCGTATCTGCCCGAGCTCTGATGCTGCGTATTTCCAATCTCTCCTTTGCACAGACTGTGCAGGGAGGACGCTGCTTATTAGCTGAAGTTGTGTGTGTGTGTTTAATGATTTTATTGGAATAAATTCCTGTTAGTAGAATCCTGAGTCAAAAGGTATGCAGATTTCTAAGGCCTTTGGTATTTTATTGTGTCTTTGGGTTGGTAATACTAAGTTGCTTGTTTATTTCCCTCCTCCACAGAAGACGTCGTTGCGCGTGAACTAATAGAGAAAATGATCGCGATGGATCCGCAGAAACGCCCCTCGGCGAAGCACGTGCTGAAACATCCGTTCTTCTGGAGCCTGGAGAAGCAGCTCCAGTTCTTCCAGGTAAAGATGTCTGTTTTCTTTATTAAAAATCTTCATCTAATGTTTTCCAAATCTTGAGAATATAGAGAAGAACAAAGAATAAAACCAATGACCCATAATCCTGTAACCAGGAGATAACCATGGTCGATGCTTGTATATATTTTCTTATATGTGTAAAAGTAGAACTGGGATCAAACTATATATACAGTTTTGTATCCTGGGTATTTTTTTACTGTACATATTTTAAGTATTTTTCATGTTAAAGTTCTAAAATTTTAATGACTGCAGTATCCTATCATACGGATGTGCCATCATTTTTAAACTTTATATTAGGAAATTTCCAACTATACATAGAAGTGGAGCGAGCACTGTAATTCGCTCCCCTTCACGTGTCTCCCGGGTGCAACGAGCATTCGCTCGCCCTCCACCCGCTCCCCAGCCCGGATTATTTTGAAGCAAATCGCAGGCATCATATAATTTCATTCAAGTGTCATAAATTCAAATATTTCCTTAGATTGGATTTTTTCTATCGTCTTTTACTCAATCTTTGCCCAGATCTCATTTTGCTTAAAGTAGATTTTGCAATGTTAAATTGTAGGATCAATGACTATGAACTCCTTTGGCAGTTTGACAGTCCTATGGCCTTGTGACATTGCCAGGTGAGTTTGTGAAGAGTGATGTGTTTCTCAGAGTCTTCTGTAGTGAGTTGAGCATAACTCAGCCAAACGTCTCCCGCCCAGCGCGCAGATCTGACGAGCGGCGCTGCGCTTCTCCCCCGTGTCTGGGCAGAATGCAGCTCGGTGAACACTGTGATTCAGAGGTGACTGTCACGCTGTCCTGGAGTCTGGCTGGGGCCTTGGCTGTAGTGAAGCCCCTAGAATTAAGCGCCTCGAGGGCAGGGGCGTTTGACTGCTACGCTCACTGCTGTGTCCCCTCTGCCGAGGGAGTGTAAGAACCGGTCCCCCTCGGCCCCAGGAACAGAGAAGCAGAGTCACCGAGGATGCAAATGGCAAAGGAGTTTATTTGCTAGCTCGAGCTAGGGTCCAAGTCCCAGAGCACCAACGCAGTGGCCTCCCTAGGAACCAGGACCCCGCCCCGGGGTAAAAGTGAAGCTTTTATACTTTTGGTTGTGCACGACACACCGGTGACATATGATACGCTGAGCCCACCATCCCCTTTCCCCCTTTGTCCATTGGTTCCTTTAAAAGTGGAGGATTGTTTTGACCCCTGATTGGGTGGTCCCAAGCCTCAGGATTTTTAATTTTCGCGCAGGCGCCAGTTCTGATCTGCGTTTGGGGAGGGGGACTGAGACTTAGGCCTACTCTAGGAAGTTCAGCCTGTCATGGAGTCACTCCTGCCCTGTTTTTTTTGATTAACAATATTTGACTAACAACTAAAAGCAAGCACGGTTACAGAAGCAAATGGCATTAGTTAAAATCAAAGAGAATATATTTTTTTAATCTAAAACAGTTTCTGTTTCACACAAAACAAAGTACATTTTCCTACTATCAATTCCTGCCTTTCATTCCCCCCTTTTTTTTGTTTCTACGAGCACTCTTGCTCATATGTGGGGTCCTGTACTCTTCCCATTTTTAAGCAGGTATCACGGCTCAGCCTTTGGTACTGCTGCCGTAATACCAATAACTGCACGGTGTTGACTCGCTCTTTTACAAAAGAGAATATTTTGTTTAAAACACACGGTCCGACAGTGAGGATGAGCAGAAGTATAATTAAGGGTCCTAATAAGGTGGAAAGTAAGGTAGTTAGCCAAGGGGAGTTATTGAACCATGACTCAAACTATTTTTTTTCCTGTTCACGCTCTCGTCTTCGCTTTGCTAGTCCTTTCCTGACTTTAGTCATGGAGTCTCTAATTACCCCTGTATGGTCAGCGTAGAAGCAGTATTCTTTTCCTAGGGCTGCACATAGCCCTCCCTGCTGGAGGAAAACTAGGTCCAGCCCCCTTCGGTTCTGTAGCACCACCTCAGACAGCGAGGTCAGTGATTTTTCTAGAAGGGAGATGGATTTTTTAATTTTGGCTATATTTTTATCTATGGCAGCCCTTAAATTATTGAACCCTCTGTGCTGCACTGCTAAAGATGATATTCTTGTTCCTGTTCTTATTATTTCCAGGCCAAAAAGGGTGGCTAAGGTTACTGCTGTAAAGGGCTTTCTTTTTTTTTTAGTCAAACTGGTACCTTTTGTGTCCTTGGTCCAAGCATCATATATTATACTTTCTTGGTGGTATATAACCTTAGGGAACACTATCACCATGATGCAGAACTCCTCTGACTCATTAAAGACAGATAGGCTGAGGCATGGAGTCAGGCCGGTTTTAGAACAAATTTACCACCCATCAAGTACCGGAATGATTTATTTTTTTTTTCCTGTCTGGTCTGCAACTGAGTGGACACTGGCACAAAGCTGTGCATGGCTAGGGGACACCTTTTCTATACAGGTCTCGCTTCCGGTGACTATCTGAAGTGTCAGCCCTGGGCCTTTGTGGTCCCACTTGTAGGACTCGGGGGTCTCCTCTTCTGAACGGTTGAAGGGGGCAACTATTTCTATTGCTTCATAGAAAGGGGGTCTAATATCATAGCATAACCAACAAGCTTCTGTAGCGTTGGGGTCGGAGCGGTTCAATGTCTCATATGCTGCCGTTAGTATTTTCCATAGGGGATCTCCCGGCTCCTCTGCTCTGGGGGCTACTTGTGGTTCCACTTCCACCACCAGGGTCCTTGAGAGTGAGAGTGGGACGGTAGTTGGGCGTGTGGTGGAAAGTGGGGCGATGGTCGGCTGTGGGGTGTTTTGTTTTTCTACCAGCACTGTATTTGGTCCCACAGCGCCCGAGATGGGAGAAACCTTTAGTTTAATTTGTATCACAGTGTCAAATAGTGGGCGCTGATAGAGAAACAATTCTCACGATAGTCCCGAGAGCCACCGCTTGTCCTTTTTTTTCTCATCTGTAAACCTTACATGAATTAGATTACAGTTAGGGCCATACAGGCGTCGTGCACATGGCCTGACATAAGACATTTTAATGAAAAGGGATTGTACCTTTTATTTGGATTTTTTATCATTGGTGGTCACACACTCTCAGGCTGTATAATAACGGGACTTGATCTCCCCGCACTTGTGTCTTATTTTTTCTATTTTAAATTTTGGACATGTATAAAACTCATTTATACTCATGGATATTTGCCTCTGGACCTGTCTTACCTTTGGCCCTTTTATTTTTTCTAGAGGGCTAATTTTTTTTAAGTTAAAATATAAGTCTGGCCACCAGGTGTTTAGTGGGGCTGTCCCTGAAGTCTTATTTCAAACTTTATGGGTTTCTAAGTTAGTGATTTCCCAGGTGAGGTTGTAGGGCATGTGGGGATTTGGGTCAGTCATTACTTTTCTCATAAGGGTTTTGATTATAAAGGTCACCACAAGTATTTTTATTCCGTGTGCCCTCATGATGGGTCCGGCGGCGGTCTGGTTGTCACGCGAGTCAGTCTGGTCTTCAGTGGATTCTCTGGATCCGATGAGGCTCTCCACTGAACTCGCTGCTGCTCCTGTTTGTCCTTGTTGGCAGGTCTTACGTGAGAGTGGTGTATCCAGGTCGCCACTCCGTCAACCTTTAGGGCAGTGGGGGTGACAAGAATAATCTGAAAAGGTCCCTTTCACCTGGGCTCCAGGGTTTTACTATTATGTCGTTTTACCCATACCCAGTCTCCCGGCTGGTAGGGATGCCCGTTAACCTCTTTTCCCTCCTGTCGGGCCGCCTGGTAAATGGCGCGGAGGGCAGGCCAGATCTGGCTCTGAACCCGTTGCAGGGCCTGTACAGCCTGCAGTACTTCTTTAGGGTTTTCAGGCAGAGCCCCGGAGTTCATTTTTGGTATTACAGGTGGAGGAGCACCGTATACTATTTTAAAGGGGGTTAGGCCTAAGTGGTAGGGAGTGTTCCGGGCTCGGAACAGGGCGAAGGGAAGGAGGGTCACCCAGTCTCCGCCAGTCTCCAGGACCAATTTAGTCAAAGTTTCCTTTAAGGTTCTGTTTATTTTTTCTACCTGCCCTGAGCTCTGGGGATTATATGCACAATGTAATTTTTAGTCTGTCCCCAGAGCCCGGGCTAATCCTTGACTAACCTGGCTTGTGAAGGCCGGCCCATTGTCAGACCCTATGCTCTCTGGCAGCCCGTACCTGGGAACTATTTCTTTTAATAGTTTCTTTGCCACTACTGAAGCAGTTTTTTCTTTAGTAGGAAAAGTCTCTACCCACCCTGAGAAGGTATCTACCATAACCAACAAGTACTTGTACCCATACTTTTTTGGTCTTACCTCTGTGAAATCTATTTTCCAAAATAATCCCGGTTGTCTCCCCCGTTCCCTAGTACCTGTATGGGTCCCTCTGATCCTCCCTGGCTACATAACCTGGCAGACACGGCAGTTTTTGACAACGCTTTCTGCTGCCTTTCCTTGGGACCTGAATTTGAGTTGGGCAGTGTCCAGTAGCTGTAACATCTTTTTTTTGCCAAGATGTATTGTCTGGTGTAAGTGTCCTAATAGGTGGTTCCCCAAGGCTTCAGGAACTACTAGGCGATGCTCTTTGTCTTGGAACCAGTTGTCCTTGCCCTGTGTTGCCTGCAGCTTCTCTCTGGCCCAGTTTATGTCCGTACTGGAATAGTCCGGTTGAGGGGGTATCTCTCCCATCCCCGGGGGCGGCAAGCTCAAGTGTAGGACACCTGTCAGGGTAGGTCCTTCCGCGGCCCTCTTGGCCTCGGCGTCCGCAGCCCGGTTGCCCCGAGCTTTTAGGGAGTCCCCCCTCTGGTGTCCCGGAGTGTGGACTACAGCTACTGCCTTTGGTAACAGGATGGCTTCTAGCAGTTGAAGTATTTCAGGCTTATGTTTGATTTCCTTGCCCTCTGCCGTGATGAAGCCCCTTTTCTTATAAAGGGCTCCGTGTATATGCACTGTCCCGAAGGTATAACGGCTGTCGGTATATACCGTCAGCCTCTTTCCTTGGGCCCGGCGAAGGGCTTC